AATTCGGGTTTCGATACCTGCGGTGAGCAGAGCACAGATAGCCCATTGTGTAACTTTGTGCTTAATTACAAACAAACTTACAAACTAAATTTCAAAATTCGTTTACAAATTATTATTCGAACTCTGTTGCTAATATTTGACTCGAAATATTTTATATCTTACAATTATATAATATTTATCTAGTTTATTTGATAAATAAAAATTCTTTAAAATGTTTAAACTTTTGTTTCTGTCATATCTTTAGGTGTCTGAATTGTAAACACTTCTCACTTTGAAATTTATTTGCTGGCTCTTATATTTTTTACTTCCAATCAAATTTCAACACTTTCAGTAAGCTCGGCGTTTACTTTATGTTTCTTCATCTTCTATTTATTGAACTGTGAACTTGTTGGTTGAACTCACATTTATAATACCTTTTAGAAGTGTCTTGACAATTTTGATTGGTTCTCAGCTTTGAAAAGCCAAATATCGTTAGAAAGAGGAGATTCTAAGCTTTTTTTTTTCAAATCGAGAATGTAATAGTCCCGTATGAAAATTAGTTACATTTTTTGAAAATGTGAGCTTTTTATTCTTGATAACACTTTTCTGTCCATTTGAAAGCTACAGGAATATTTTTCTATGACAAATTATCAGGTAAGGTTAGCGAGTATGGTGAGCTATGTCTTTTGTGATGGTATAGGACTTTATTATTGTAAGTATTGTTAAATTTAGTATTATGTTACGTCTCCGTTTGTTAATTAACTTTCCGTAACTTCGTTCCGACGAAACTTTAGCAACACAAGTTCTTACTTAATAAAACTGGTTTATTCTTTCCGAATATAACTTTACGATACACTTAATTTCAACAATCGCGCTAAAACAAACGCTATAACAACGAACGTGCTCAATAATACTCTCTGACTGCAGATCAATTACTCACTGTCTACACACACATTACATTGTTCTGTCACGTTGTCACCCTCTTTTATATACCAGGCTACCCTATATCTAGTAAATGCTAGAGCATTCGCCAAGGTACGGGATAGTTCTAGAAAGCAGAGGGCGTGGGAATAGTCACGTGATCTCGGTGACGCAACAATTAGTTAAGCAACCCATACAAATATAAGAACTTCTTACTAATTGAAAGCAACTATAATTATTAGATATAAAGTTATCGTAATTAAACATTCACTTGGCTGACTAATGTGACAAAAATAACGGTGTTATAAATGTGAAAACTGAGGCCATTACTTACGGTAAATTCTTGTCAATCATAGCATGATGGATAGTGCGAAGTCAACTGCTTCAATTGGAAAAATTAAAACATCAAAAGAAATTCAAATATTAAATCACATTGTGTCTTGTTTCTTCTGACAGATATTGGACATTAGTTAGAAAATTAAACCAAATTGCATGTAATTTGGTTAAGTATACCATGTTGTTAACAGCTCGAAATAAATTTACTTCATAAATTTCTTAGGAACTTGTAGATTATAAATACGTTTGTAACATTTTAATATGAAACCTAACGAGGTCACAATGGGTTAATGTTACAAGTGGTGTACACCACATTTTATGATTAGTACTTTGTTGTTTCCTAGTTTTATCAACGACAATGATAATGGAGTAATCAGTAAATTACTAAGAGCTACTGGAAGTTTTAACTCTACAGAATCCTGCTATTAACTACTGAAAGTTTTTGTAGAATACGTTAATGGCTATTGTAACTTTTTGTTTCTCTTGATATTGGTTGTATTATATATTTTTTGTATGTAGAGCTATTATCCTGTTACTGACTATACCGGAAGTTTGCCCGTGTAGAATCAAGAATCGAGCAATTGTCTACTGATACTAAACAATGGGCTATTTACACTCTGTCCACCACTGAGAATTAAGACCCATATTTTATGGTTGTAAGTCCGTTAACTTATCACTGACCCATATAGGGACTTTGTTAGATATAACTGTCTTTACTAATATATAAGCCTACGAGTACCATTAGCTATTGCAAGTGTTTGTTGTCCATGAACATCCGGATTTGGCTACTGGAACGTTTTCGGCTGGGTTACTAGAAATTTGTTTTATGTCAGTGGAAATTCCGCTGTTGGCCACTGATAGATTGTGTGGGTGAATAAATGCGTTAATGAGTTAAATTGGCTAATGGATTTTTTTATACGTGTATAATATCTCTATTGTGTCTATGTAATCTTCATTATTGAGTATTGGAACTAATTCTTCTGAGGAGAATACTACCGCAAATGACTACAGGAAGTTTTGAGTGTCTGTGTAGAATCCCTCTATTGGCTACTGGGACGTTTTTGTCTGTCTAGAATCCCTCTATTTGCTACTGGGACGTTTTTGTCCGTCTAGAATCCCTCTATTGACTACTGGGACATGTTTGTCTGTCTAGAATCCTTTTATTGGCTACTGGGACGTTTTTGTCTGTCTAGAATCCTTTTATTGGCTACTGGGACGTTTTTGTCTGTCTAGAATCCCTCTATTGGCTACTGGGACGTTTTTGTCTGTCTAGAATCCCTCTATTGGCTACTGGGACGTTTTTGTCTGTCTAGAATCCTTTTATTAGCTATTGAAATTCTTCTGCTTGTCTAGAATCTTTATATTAGCTATTGGAACCTTTCTGTTTGTCTATAATACTGTTATTTTCTATTTGTACTATCTGTCTGTCTAGAATCCTGTTATTAACTATTGGAGCTTTCTGTCTGTCTAGAATCCTGTTAGTAGCTATTGGAGTGTTTCTGCTTATCTACAATCTTGTTATTAATTATTGGAATGTTTCTTCTTATCTAGAATTATGTTATTTGCTATCGGAAAGTTTCTGCTTATCTAGAATCCTGTTATAACCAATTGGAATGTTTCTGCTTACCTAGAATCCTCTTATCAGCTATTCAAAAGTTTATGTCTGTTTATGATCCTGTTATTTTCTATTGGAGTTTTCTCTCTGTCTAGAATCCGGTTAGTAGTTATTGGAACTTTTCTGTTTGTCTAGAATCCTGTTATTAACTATTGGAGATTTCTGTCTGTCTAGAATCCTGTTAGTAGCTATTGGAGTGTTTCTGCTTATCTACAATCTTGTTATTAATTATTGGAATGTTTCTTCTTATCTAGAATTATGTTATTTGCTATCGGAAAGTTTCTGCTTATCTAGAATCCTATTATAACCAATTGGAATGTTTCCGCTTACCTAGAATCCTCTTATCAGCTATTCAAAAGTTTATGTCTGTTTATGATCCTGTTATTTTCTATTGGAGCTTTCTGTCTGTCTAGAATCCTGTTATCTATTAGAATCCTTATCAGCTATTCAAAAGTTTATGTCTGTTTATGATCCTGTTAGTAGTTATTGGAACTTTTCTGTTTGTCTAGAATCCTGTTAGTAGCTATTGGAATGTTTCTGCTTATCTACAATCTTGTTAGAATCCTGTTATAACCAATTGGAATGTTTCTGCTTACCTGGAATCCTCTTATCAGCTATTCAAAAGTTTATGTCTGTTTATGATCTAACTATTAGAACATTTTTGTCTATGTAAACAACCACAACTGCAGCTATTGAAAGTTTTTGTTTTAGTAGTAATTGGGTTTAATGACGTTTTCATAACATTGGTTAATGGTTGATACTTCTATACCTAGTGGTTTTGTTTACTGACTACTTCTACATAACAGAGCAGCAAAATATAGAATCAATTAATTTAACACTAGAAAAGGTATCCATGCCTATAACGGTATTTAGTTGCCGTCGCGGGGATGGCGAGATGGCGTGTGCGTGCGTCATTCGCCGGTTGTGGCAAGATAAAAATTGAAACGACTTTCAAAATCTTAAAAGAACAAAAATGAATAAAATGAGGAGTTTTCGAATCTCTTGACCAAAACCAAGAACCTCTGAAAATTTCACGGTGATCAGATATAGTTAAGTTGGAAAATATTGAGTATCGACAAATGCACAGACACTAGCCGCTTTATAGTATAGATTTACGTTACCTTAGATACAAGTACGGAGAAGAAATTAAAAACTTAGAATGTTAACTTTCTAACTATGGTAAATGATGTGAAAGTTTTGTATCTTGATAAATTTCACTTAAGACAAATCTATTCAGAAAGTATATGATACCCACTAGGTCAAGATAAGCAAAAAAGAAGTATTTCATAAGATCGTTAGTGTAAACAGTTTTTTTTTGTTGGATAATCAATTAGAAGCGGACTTAATAAGTACTCCATTGCTTTCTGGAATACCGTAAGAATATTATTCCTTTTTATTTCTACTGATTCTGGTGCAGTGTTGCCTATCCTAATTCAAGTAAGTCAAGTTACATATTTAACTAGTCTAGATACGTTTGACCATGTTAATCTTTTCTCGGCAAGGCCCTTGCGACTATTGAGTTGTTCCTTTTTGAAACTGATCCAATAAGTGTGTAGTTATAAAAGTTACATCCGTTACAAAAAGGGGAGAATAACAGAGAAGATTACAGTTAAACTCAGCACAGGTTGTGTTTGTGGATTAAACAAAATACCTTACCTGTACAGTCATATTTTCGTTATTTGATGCATGATTTTCAATAAATATTCTATTCTGCGTTTTTTTTTTATCAAAAGAGGTATTGGTGACGAAGTAATTGAGTTTCAAATCACGTCAGTGCAAATTTAAAGAGAGAGAAAAACAAAATACTAAACAGCAAATTTTTATTTTACTCACAAAATCAATAAACTTACTGAATCTATTTATAAAAAGCTCGAAAATGTTTAAAGATATTTCGAACAATACGATCAAACATGCTGCTCACAATATTAAACATAGTAAAAAGATAGCCTAAACTTATCTTCTTGTATTATTTATCAGAACATTAAAAATTCAACTTGACCCTGGAAATCTCAAGACTTGTTTTATTTCTCCTAATTCTTCACGCTACCTCGAGCATTTCCTTTGTGGTCTTTTTTGTTGTTGTTAGTTTAAATTTACACTTATTTTGATTTTGATTGTAAAATTTTTCACAGAAAGATCTATCTTACGATTATAGTTGCATGTTATTGAATTTCTGTTTTGTTATATTCCATCGAATGGTGCAAATTAATACGTATGCCAAATATTCATAAAATAATTCAACTTCAAATTATGTTCTTAAACCCGACAACCGGGCTTAGTATTGTTAGAGATCCGGAAGGATATAATCAAACCCGACAACCGAGCTTAGTATTCTTAGAGATCCGGAAGGATATAATCAAACCCGACAACCGAGCTTAGTATTGTTAGAGATCCGGAAGGATATAATCAAACCCGACAACCGAGTTTAGTATTGTTAGAGATCTGGAAGGATATAATTAAACCCGACAACCGAGCTTAGTATTGTTATTGATCTGGAAGGATATAATTAAACCTGACAACCGAGCTTAGTATTGTTAGAGATCCGGAAGGATATAATTAAACCCGACAACCGAGCTTAGTATTGTTAGAGATCCGGAAGGATATAATTAAACCTGACAACCGAGCTTAGTATTGTTAGAGATCCGGAAGGATATAATTAAACCCGACAACCGAGCTTAGTATTGTTAGAGATCCGGAAGGATATAATATACTATTCTTAAAATAAGATATATGCTATTGAAATACTAAAACAATATGAAAAACAAATATACAGGCAGTGTGATTAAAAACGTAAATAAATGCATTAATAGAGCAATCATCTACAAATTAATAGTTTAAAATATTTGTACTTAATGATATACAAAATGAGCCAAGAAAAAGTATCAGTTCAAGAAGGGTTACTGTGTCTATTGAAAAACGCTACACCAAATATAAACACCTTTACCAACGTCTAATCGTGTAAAGCAGTAAGTTCTCTTTTTTGAGAATACGCCCATTTCAGTTAGTGGAACAAAATTTTTTCTCAACATTAAATATGCCACATGGACCTCGTTAAAGACCTTTCTACTTCCCGGACCTTAACTCAATGACTTTGTTTTCCTTTGGGAATGTCCTCAAGGGTCATGTGACTTTAAAATAATTAGTGTCAAAGCGTGTAGAGCGGTTCCAACGGTAATTCTATGAACACTCTCCACAACAACAATTAGGATAATAAACTTTATCTTGGCTTACACTTCACATTACATTAATATTTACATTTCTTATATTATAATAAAAGAAACTCAATCCTCGAAGGCTTAAAAAATTTCAATATTAGCATAAGTTATGAAAAAGGAAACTTATTCTCATACACTGTTAATACTTTCAAGAATATAAACTTAATTCGTACATATTTCCATAATATTTTTTAAAGATTTCACTACGCATTTCGAATTAAATCCTTCGCACATAGAAACCTATTATTTGTTCTTGTTGTTGGCATTACAGTGTTTCTTATGATGGTAAGTCATGCAGTTTGAGGGTTTGTTACTGTAAGTTACTTAAATATTTATTGATTATTATTCGAAACAGTCAGAAACCGTTTACTGTAATAACCATTAAGGTTTGTTGATCAGTAAGAGTAACGAACAAAAGATTGAAATGTTTTTAAATATCTGTTACATTATATTATTAAACACTAAATTCTTTATTCGGACGTTCAGGGTTTTCCCTAATAGTGTATAACAGTTTTTTATCCACACATACCCATCGCCGATGACGCGTTTTTCTCAATATTACAAATATAATTGATTATGATCACACTTTGCGAACAAACGGCGTTCACATCATTACGATTGTTATATAAATATGTGTTTTGGTATTCTTGTTATAATCACGTTTATATTTGTATTAAAATCATTCTGATTTTGCATATATAATATAAGAGGGTGTTATCTCCATGGCATCAATTCCAAAAAAAAGTGATTGTAGACGCCCTGCTTTTGTAACAATTGTATAAGGAGTTGGTTGTTAAGTTTGTAGCAGCAGTGATCGGTAATCGTACATGATGCGACTGTAAGCAAAGATTATAATTTTCACACTATTGTTCAGTGCTTATATAACTAGTATCTAACATGGCAGTTTCGGTAACTTGAAATCAAAAACTTGAATAATGTCACATTAATTTGTATCTACAAACATCATATAAAACACATTGGCACGTTGTAGCACGAAAATAAGCAAGCTTATGTAAAAAAAAAAACGGACTTTTTACATGATGGATCTTACTAGCTTTATTACACGTAGTATTGGGGAACACTTAATGGTTTATTCTAGAGAGAGAAAGCTAATAGTTATACAAATTCCAAGGATGTTTTTTAAACTTGACTACAGATCACCTTTTTAACCATTAATTGTTTCCACGGATACATATTAAGCTTTCTCTTTCCAGCTTTGTGTTTGAATCAAGCTTTACATAAAATACCCTTCACACAGTCCGAGTCAGCACTGTCACATTCTAGTGCCTTTTAAATACCTCCAGTTTATCTAGTGCGCTCTAACATACCCTTTTGCCATAAATTACTTTACAATGATAATATTATGTCATAGAGGTGAATCTCCATTATAAGCAACATCATTTGGATGAGGGCCTTGGCATTTCTGAAAAAAAAAAAAACATAAAAAAATGTGGATCGATACATAATTCAAAAAACTTCAGAGGTAGTAAATAAAATTAATTATAACAATATCCTACTGATTATTTGAATATATAAACAAAACATCATTATATTAGTATATATCAGCCTCGTTTCGAAGGTTAGTATTAAATACGATATATGTTGGGTTGAGCCTCATCTGATTGATGTGTATGTAAATATATGTTTTGCCACACATCTGCCATCAGTACATCTCTACATGTGCTACACCGTGGCCCTCAAAATATCGAGTCCATATTCCATTTAAAATCATGCATTGGCCAGCATACTGAACGTGGCAGTAGCTGTTGTATCGGTGCTTTATTCACGTAGTGTCCGCAGATCACTCAGGTTTGTCCTGTAGACGATGTTTTTCACATAACCAACAGGAAAAGACCAGATTAACGATGTCAGACGATCGTGCTAGCATGGGGATTGACCTATCTCCTCTCCTTTCTTGTGTAACACGCCCCCTAATTCTTGAAACTGTCAATACCATTTTTTGATAGACTTCTTAACTGATGGATATTTGCTATACACTTCACGATATTGTCTTTACACTAGAATACGTGATTTCATCTCTGCTAGCCACAGGATGCGCATAGCCTTCTCTATCGCCATGCTTGTTAATGAAATGTATTGGATATACAAGAGTGGTTCGTTTAAGAGTTATTATTTAGTTTATTTAATGATTTAATAGTTATATAATTTTCATAACAAGAGTGTTAAAAGTGTTAATTATTTTAAAAGCGATAGTTATAACAAGTTTCGTTATTTAACTCGGTAGGAGTCGTACGCAGTGCACGTAGTTCAATTGTTGTACTACGCTTTTGTAATATTGTAGACGTTATCTTACTCGAAGCTTCCAGGTTTTTCTCCTTACGTGTAATATTGTAGACGTTATCTTACTCAAGCTTCCAGGTTTTTCTCCTTACGTGTAATATTGTAGACGTTATCTTACTCGAAGCTTCCAGGTTTTTCTCCTTACGTGTAATATTGTAGACGTTATCTTACTCGAAGCTTCCAGATTTTTCTCCTTACGTGTAATATTGTAGACGTTATCTTACTCAAGCTTCCAGGTTTTTCTCCTTACGTGTAATATTGTTGCTACTAGGGAGTTAGATATTTTTAGATTTTTCTATTTTTTTTTTAAATACGTCCAGATAGAGAAGTAAAAAAGAAAAAGTGAAGTTAGACTGAGTGATTGTTAGTTTAGCAGTAACGGGCGATATTCACAGAATAACAGAGTAGAGGAGAATGATTTGTTTTGTCAAAGGAGTTCTAAAGTAATTGAACCCACCCGTGTTGACATTTACGAAAAGGAGACAATTATTTAAGGTTATCGATATAACTATGGTAACATACGGGGTAACAGGGGTAACTAAGTAAATTTATCGCAGAATGTATAGTAACAGAGTAGAGAAAAATATTTCATCCTGTTAACTTGGTTCTAAAGTAATTTAACCAGCCTGTGTGAACTTTTGACAAGAAAATATAATTAGAGCTTTGGATACAACTGTGATCTCCTACAATGTAAAGAATTTTTGTACATACGTTTGACTTGTCTTTAATATATTATTTTAAAACAATTGGATTATGTGCTGTCCGTTTATTGTTCGAATTTATCGCCAACAAGTCACAGACACCTACTGTACAGAATTCGGCCCCCATAAAATTCACACTAGGTTTCGAATATTGAACTACTGAATAGAAGGGAAGCCTGCCACTCAGCAGTACCCGCCGCCACAAAAGCAGAATCCGACGTTGAATCAGTTAACGTGATTGACCACCACTTTCGTAGAGGAGGACCTACAGCTAAAAGTGCGAAGTGCGTTGGTGATATCGCAGAGGGAACCATGGACATTTCGATAGGCAGCCTGCATGGTAGTCACTGGACAACACCCAGCTCAGATTTGTTAGCCCAAGCAATTTAGTACTTGTCTAGAAAATGCCCGTTTACAAATTTGATATACTTTAAAAAATTAATAACATATGAGTCTTCCCCCCCCCCTACCCCGCTGAAAATTATACTTTATCAATTTTCACACTTTGGCCGTTACAAATGCAATATTTCTGCTCAACAGTTGAAAGACCAACCAAGGTTTTGCTTGAATTTTATGAAATGTATTGAATTATTCAGTTATTATTTCGATTGCAGAGTTTACAATAAACAGTCTTCAGACAGTGTGGTGAGTTGAAACAGTCTTCACGGCGAACCCTACAGATTGTCATCACATGAGTACAAGAAAATACGATTGATATTTTATGACTTCTGGTTAAAATTTTACTTTCCCAATTTGATTTATGCTGATAAACTTGCTAAATTTTCAATTGCTTTAGAACTTGAACTGCTGTTTATGACTTTTATTTCAGAACACTGTTTTTCAATAAACATTGATATCAGGATCTCGAGAATCAGATTCAGCAAATCTTTACAAATATAAATCTTATGAAGTAATGAAGGTGCTCGACTCGTAATCTGAGGGTCGCGGGTTCGAATCCCCGTCACACCAAACATGCTTGCCCTTTCAGCCGTGGGGGCGTTATAATATGACGGTCAATCCCACTATTCGTTGGTAAAAGAGTAGCCCAAGAGTTGGCGGTGGGTGGTGATGACTAGCTGCCTTCCCTCTAGTCTTACACTGCTAAATTAGGGACGGCTAGCGCAGACAGCCCTCGTGTAGCTTTGCGCGAAATTCAAAACAAACAATGAAGTAATGCATGATTAAATTAAAATAAATAGAAAAAAATAACTTACTACTTGATTGTTCTGCCATAATTTCATTGCACTTTTGTATTTTTCAAATTCACTGCACCAGTCAGTATAAACCTTTTTGTATTCTTTCTGGATTGGAGAGCATGATTCTGTAATAATAGATAATTGAAAAAAAAATTATACTGTACATAACACAGCGTTATCAAACAGAAACTAAGCCTTAAACCATTAAACTGGAGTTGTTTATCCAGTTAAAAACATTTATTTGATAGACTATTATTCTCTACACTTTATAGGTTTACATTAAAACTACTCCAATAACAAATATAGCTGATTAACATCATATGAATGTTTCGTGATTTTGAAAAATAAAAATAAATAATTCAAGTATAAATTGTTATTATAAAAAATTGTAAGTGGTTATTTACATTTACTCCACAATTACGGACTGCTTAAAAATATCGCTGAAACGTAATAAAATTATTACTGTGATGAAACTGTTGGAAAGGTAATTGTCTCAAACTCAGTTTGAGAATTTTGTTAATTAATCATTTCTATCGTTGCCTGCAAATTTTTGACCTGTGACAGCTAAGTTCAAAATACTTCCGATTCTCTTGTGAAGTTCCTACAATTTATGACCATTAAATAATGCATAAAATATTATTGATTAAAAGTATTTGAGTATAAAATTTTAGTTATGACACTCGTCATTTTACTACAAGTGTATTAAAACGTTATAAAATTTGACAAAATGTAATCCGAAATAAAACAAATCATAAACTAAGATGTTTGTTATATAACATTCAAAATTAGTACTTATTTTTATTAGCAGTAAAATTTACTGTAAAAAATTTAACATTTCCATTTATTTATAGTTTATAACACGTTCGAAAGATGACGAAACAATCATAGTTAATACAAATTTGAATTGAATGTTAACTAACTTGAATCAATCGTAACGTTATAGCTACATAGCGTAGTGCCTTCCACTTTACAGTCGTACCGTCCAGCGTTGTCATCACTCATGGACATAATGACAAGCCCAAAGTCCGAAGTTTCAACATATTTCATTTTCTGTGGCATGATTTGATATTTTCCTTTGTCATGTTTGAAATGGTACCATTCTACTGAACCGAGGCCTAACATCTCCTGCTGACGTCGACGGATTGGACACGCGAGATAAACACTTTGTCCCCAGTGGGCCTGAACAGTTTTTCTTTTCTCTTCTAATCGATATAAAACATATGCAAGTTGTTTATACTTTAGTGACAACTGGCAATACAGTTTATTGAATTTAGTCACACGTATTTCAAAAAACCATACTGGTAATGAATTAATAAGATATTTTGACATCAGATTGACAATTTCATAACATATCATTCTATAATTCTTCACTGCAAATAATTAGTCTAGTTAAATTTTTAAGAAAAGCTTTTTGACGTTCATTGATCGTTATAGTCGGATTATAGCTCAAGAACACCACAAGCTGTCGTTCGTGCTGGTTGTTTTGAGCTCAAGTGTTTTCGTCTTAATTTTAAGCCACATGAGCACTTGCAGCACTAGAGGGTGGGAGTGGGGTGTCGAATAACATATACCCGAGTCGATTCCCATCCCCCTATTGCTGCAGATTTGATCTGTAAGATGTAACACATCAGATGTTTAATGCATTTTCTTGTTACGAAACATTTTTGTGCATACATTTTTTAAAATTGTAACTTTATAAATATGTTTGGAAAAATGTTCTTTTATTTTTAAACATCATTACTATACTCGTGGTTTCGTAAAAGAACGCCTTAGTAAGAAAGATAAATAAGCACTTGTTTTATCTAGGAGATGCTACTTATTATATTAAAGAGAATGGTGTTTTTTGTTGTTGTTGTTGTTGTTGTTTTTAATAAATATATAATCTTTATTTCTTGCAAACTTGTATAGTAAGATTTTTCACACTTGCTTCTATTTTTCTTGCCAAGAACCTTTCTGTAATGAACTGAATATGTATGGTAAATGTAAATTAAGGCTATGAGTACATATTATTTATTAATAATTCATAACTTATGATTGTTCAGTTTACTTTTAGGGTAATCTAATTTCAGTTCTTAGCGTTGTAAAATATATTGAGATGTAGATAACACAAATGTACTTTTACATACTGTTGCGTCAGCGAGTCACATGACTAGTGTGACGCCACGTTTCTAGAACTATCCCGTACCTTGGCGAATGCTCTAGTATTTACTAGATATAGGGTATCTGGTATATAAAAGAGGGTGACAACGTGACGGGAGACGAATGTAATGTGTGTGTGAAGATAGTGAGTAATTGAACTGCAGTCACAAGTATTATTGACGTTCGTTGATATAGCGTTTGTTTTAGCGCGATTGTTGAAATTAAGTGTATCGTAAAGTTGTATTCGGAAAGAATAAACCAGTTTTATTAAGTAAAGAACTTGTGTCGCTAAAGTTTCGTCGGAACAAAGTTACGGAAAGTTAATTAACAAACAGAGACGTAACAAATTGGTGTCAGAGAGTGGGATAGAAAAAAAAAAGAGAAAAAGATGGAAACGAGAGGCGGAAAATCAAACTACAGCTTAGCAGATTTGATGGCAGCAATACAAAAACAAGAAAAGAAACAAGAAGAATTGCCACTGCTGTAATCGAAAACCTACAACAATGGCAGCTCGAACAGCAAAATAAACAAGAGAGATTACGCAGTTGTTGGAGGAGAAAGAAAATAAACAAGAAGAGAGACTACAGCAGTGGTTGGAGGAGAAAGAAAATAAACAATAAGAGAAGTTACAGCAGTTGTTGGAGGAAAAAGAAAAGAAACAAGAAGAGAGACTACAACAGCGGCAACTAGAACAAGAAAGGAAACAAGAAGTACAAGCGGAAAACATTAGTAAAGGTAAAAGCGAAATAGATACATTAAAGGATGATCTATTGTCTTTTACACAAGGAGGATACATTGACCATCGACTTAATCAGCCCCAGACAATGGCAAGCCCCTTACAGACCCCGCAGCTAAACCCTAATGCAGACATCTTCAGTCCTGTTAGAAGTCACATCCCAGATATGAATGTCAGTACTAGGATTGATTCAGTAAGAAGGAAGCCACAGGAATACGATGGGAAAGCACCGTGGGAAGCATATAGAGCACAACTTGAGCTACTGGCAGAGATGAATGGATGGACAAAGGAGTAGAAAACAGTATATCTGGCAACGAGCTTGAAAAGACAACCACTGGAAATACTTGGACAGTTGTCAGCAGACGACAGGCACAACTATAGAACACTAGTGTCGGCTCTAGAACTCAGGTACGGAACCCAAAATCAGTCGGAAGTGTACAGGGCTAGGTTTAGGACAAGAGTCCGTGCTA